CTGTCCACAACACTAAAATTCTCTGAGTTATTCATGTTTTACTTTGGGAGTATCTGTCCTGGCCCTCATTCTGTTTTTACCCTTTTTGTTGCTTAATTTTTTCTGAAAAGAGAAACTTGATTTTAACAGACCCCATTTGGAACAATTGTTCCTTTACAAATAACTCCATTGGTTGAGTTTTCAGTATTTCATTACAGATACTCTTACTGTAATTGAACTTCATGAAGTCTTTCCAACAGGACACTCTATTCTCATCCATTTATATAATTCCTAATATCATTAAACAATAACTTCCTCCAAATTGCCAGTACTAAACATGTCTTTAGTATTGCTTTTCACTCCTTGTTTCCAACCTATGTTGTATCATTATGTCAAGTGCTTGTCAAGAGTCATTGAAAGGAAGTCTGTCCTCTGTAAGATGAATTACTAAACAGATATTGGGGTTAAAACTGAGAGAACAGAGGAATAGGAAAAGCCACAGCCAAACTTATCTCACCAACACCTCAGTCTCCAAAGAGACCTACTTCCTGTATACCCACACCTATATGCCTTTCTGTCCCTGCAATCTTATTTCCTCTCTCTGCCCAGCTATATCACTTCCTCTTCCTGCCCAGCTCTGTCACTTCCTGTCTGTCTGTACAGACCTCCAGACCTTTATGGTTAACTAGTGTTGGAATTCAAGGTATGTGCCATCATGCCTAGCTCTGTTCCCAGTGTGGCCCTGAACTCAAAGAGATTTGGATGGATCTCTGCCTCCCAAATGCTAGAGTTAAAGGTATGTGCTACCATTGCCTGACTTCTGTTTACTATAATGGCTGGCTTTTTCCTCTGATCCTCAGATAAGCTTTATTAGGGTGCACAATAAATTGGCGGACATAATATATCACAATCTGTGAATTTCTCTATGGAAACAGAAGAGTTAAAAGAAAAGGTCAACCCCATGAATCTCTTCTGCCAGTGCAACTAAGTCACTCTGTAAATGAGAGATTTGTGAACTCTTGATTTCTCACTGAATCCTATGCTGATTCATCCGTTTGAAAATAAAATCCTATTGCTATCTCAGAGTTTGCACATAGATTCTAAAATTGAGCTCTTTAAAATGTTTCCTTTTCCTTCTCAGAGATTTCTTTTGTAATGTAAGGAAAGTTTAAATACTGCAAGGTTGAAGACATTGGCAATGATCAAAAATAGCTGCATTGTGTTAGCAAGATGTGTGTTATTTCCCTAGAGGCTAAAACAATTTAAAATATAAACATGAAGTAGAGCTAGTCACAGAGTCAGGGAAATAATAACAAGGCATTTTAATTGTTTTCAAAAACTTAGACTTCAGCATTCTTGTCCTCTTATTATTCTAGTGGCTTAGGCTTCCTTGGGGCTGTTGCATGGGGCAAATCTGCCTCTAGAGGCTGCAGTTGTGCATTGAGTCATGTACTTCTGCACTTTGCAAACTAGGGTGATGGGAGTTAGAAGCTGGCTTTGACACAATTTAATAAAATTAGTAGAATGTTATTAGCCTTTTATTTGAGCTACAGGTTTGATTTGGTCATGTAATTTGTCATGTCTGTGGGGAAGGAATGCATGGCAAGAATGGAAGAAGATGAATATCCCCTCTCTAGTCAAGGCTTTGCAATCACATTTATTAGTTAGAAGAAAGGTTTTGTTTAGATTTTTTGCATATTATAACTCAAAATCATATAATTTTATAATGACTGAGTTAATAGGTTTTAGATTTTCTTCAGTTAATTACTAAAAAGCTTATAATTCAGCAATATCTGATTATATCTCCTTCAATGAAAATGGTATTTCTATATTAGTTCTCTTATACCCAAATACACTCTCTTCTTTAGAAGAAACTGTTGCTATCAGGTTAGGATGAATCCTCTGGACCAAGGGTGCCCCAACGTCTGACATTTTGATGTGGTATTTTTATCTACAGTGTGATGGGCTGCATTCACAGCTACCCTGGGCTATGCACAGCCTGGACCTTTGTTTATATAGATACACACGTATGCTGGCTAGGTGTTTTATATAAACAGCATCATGTCATATATTGTTGACTATATTTCAAGGAAGAACTCCCCTCTCCTGAATTTCCCATTTCACAACTCCAATTAAAATTAGTTCTATTTTACTATTTCTATCTCAAGCAAAACTGTTTAGGAGGTGAATTTTCATCTCAGCCTCTGTGAATCTGCTCATTATCTCCTTTATCTGTCTTCATTTCTCAGTTCCCTCTCTCCCATCACTGAGCACCTCTTGTTGCTTCACATCTGTTACCTTAGTCCGTGGATCACTCATAGTAATTGTATATGAATCTTTAGTACCAATTATAAGGCAAAGATTTTTGTCCAAGTTAAAATTTCTAGTACTACCACAGCAGTGGGGATGGTGTTCTAGTTTAGAAGCTAGAATTCTGGGCTTCCTTGCTCAGTCAGGATGGGGGCTAAGCAAGAGGTACATATATCTCTAATGTCAAGGTAGTTGTGAGACTATACGTAAACACACACAACTGCTACTGTTGTATTGTAGTAATGGCTGAAACACAGACATATAGTCTACTGCTCCTAAAACAATCAGAAGACATTGGAGAAGGAAAGATGCCACCATACCACATCATCATCACACACAAAGGACTTCTGGGTCCCTATCTCTGGGCTCTTTGCCTCTCTGGGGTAATTTTGGATTTTTACTTCTTATTATAGTTTATGTACTGTTTTAAAATTATGTGTATGTTTGTGCAAATGAGTGCGGATGCTCCCAGAGTCTAGAAGAAAGAGGGTGACGGTATCCCTGGACCTAGACTTACAGATGGTTGTGAGCTGCTTGGCATAGTCACTGGGAACCAAACTCAGGTCCACTGTAAGAACAGTATGTGCTCTTAAACACTGAGCCATCTCTTTGGTATCTTCTGTAGCTTTTCAGTCCCAAACATGAAACACTTATTGCTGCTATCAATATATACCTAGAGTTTTCAAATTTGTCAGCTGGGTACTGCTTTATGGGTGAGAAACTAGATATACAACTATGTGCCAAGTCCAATGCTAGTCATTTTAACTACTTCATGTTTAATAACGTACTGGGTTTAATAAGGTATGTCTTAGGATTTCTATTTTGTGAAGAGACACCATGACCATGGCAACTCTTATAAAGATTTTGAGGTGGTGGCTTACAGTTTAGAGGTTCAGTACATTATCATCATGGCAGGGAGCATGGCAACATGCAGGCAGACATGGTGCTGTCTACATCTTGATCAGAAGGCAACAGGAAATACACTGTAACACTGGGTGGTATCTTGAGCATAAAAAATCTCAAAACCCATCCTCAGTGACACATTTCCTCCAAAAAGGCCATACCTACTCCAACAAACCACATCTCCTAATAGTGCCACTCCCTATGAGTTTATGGGGGCCAATTATACTCAAACTACCACAAGGTATTAAAGTACTCATTTTTATTGGGTAAGGCAACTGAAATAGCTTCTTTCATTGCCAGATTAAGTAGTTATTTCAGAATTCACAGTGGGACAGAATTAACTGCAAAAACTTCCGTGCTATACTGTCCAGCTCCCTTCTCTGTTTCTTTGTTGGTCAACATTGCATAGATTATTTTATAAGAAGTTTTGCATAATGGTTTGGAGTCTGAGTCTTAGTGTCATATTAAAAAATTAGAACACAGCTATTAAAAAATCCATAAGTAGATTTTGCTTTGTCAAATGTAATTTGCCATTTTAGAAATTCTACCAGCCTAAACTCCAATACTGCTGATAGAAATTGTCTTTTCACCACACCAAAACATCTACTAGGTAAAACAATTATCAATATCAAAAAACATCTAGAGGCAGAAGATATACTGTGGAGGTACAATTACTTGTCTGGCATGTGTAGACCAGGGGCTCCATCCTCAGCACCACAGAAAAAGAAATGGGGGAAAAGAAGCTACTCAAATGATTGACACAGTATACTATTCTCAAACTCACAGCCATTGAGTTCCTTTGAAGGATTACATAAAACAGTTCTGTGTGTTTAATACCCTGCAAGGTTTTGAAAGAGGAATTAAAATTTTCTTTTTCTGACTATCCAGTTATCATATCATTTTCAAAAAAAATATAATGAATGCACTGTCATAGTTTAGATTCCTGGTATCCTTTGTTTGTTGCAGAGTTAATTTTCTTACCTCACATAACTTTCCTGTTAAGTGAGACAACTATATGTTGGCAATTTGTATGCACATTTTATATTGCATTTAATGAAAATGTAGAAATTCTAGAGTGACTTTTTGTTTGATTTGGTAATTAATATACATACCCTATCTTGAAACTTTAGCTCATTGAAGCCAAATTTATTGTTAAAAGCTAAGATTGTTCTTTTTTTTTCTTGCCTCAACACTTTTGTTTTAGGAATTTTCTATTCTGCAGATTATTTAAAAAAATCATAAGATTGTTAGATACATTCATGGTTAGAAACTAAATACTAGGAAGTCTATTTGAAAACAATTCTGTAGGATAAATTAAAGGTGAGGAACCTTTTATATCTAGTGTGATTCACACTGTTTGTTTACACAATGAAGCTGTGTTAAGGGGATTATATTACATTGTTGAGATTCCAGGCCCTTCTACAGCTCACGCACCAAGACTTTGTCTTAACCCTCCACAGTGATCCAGCAGGTGTCCATGAAATGCTTTAGGGCACAGGTGGCTTATGTCTCAGAAACAGAAAAAAGATCTCTGTTGGTTACATTTTCTCAGATTGTCGGAATCTTCAAGGTAATGATCTTGGCTTCTCAGAAGTCACTGATGACATTTTTAGGCCTGTTATCACTTCATAATCAGGCTTCCCTCATGGGTCAGCTCTTTGCCCTCCTGAACACTAGCTAGATTTAATTTATTTACTTAACTTCCCCCAGAAGAATGCTGTTCTCAGGACTGAAGCATTTTTACAGTAGCATAAATCCTCCCTGTCTGGAAATTAAGTTAACAATGACATTCTTGATTTGTCTTTTAGAGCATCAGGGCATCTGGCCTCATCCTGTTGGAAACAATACTCTTTGGGTCTCTGCTCCTATACTTTCCGGTAAGTGTGACGTCCTGCTATTTTAAAAGCAGTCACCTGTTTCATTTTGATTTTCCATATTGTATATACACTGTATATTACCAAAGAGTTGATAGATGTGTAAATCTGATTCCTATCTTAGATATTTTTATATCATTTCTAAATCTTGTGGGGTTTTTTTCTTGTAAATTAGTTGTATTTTTCTTCCTAGTTTTGTGAAAAGGGTCAAATATTTAGGTAAGATAGCACATGAAGGTCATATTTAGTATATATGTCTAACTTATACGAAAGTATTACTTTCATTCTTCCTTCTCCCTTATACAAATCAGAACCACAAACAACAAGGTAATGCTAGAAATTTCCCTATGAAAAAAATATAAAGAAAAATAAATTTAGTGAAATAAACGTATGTGTATGTGTAAAGCTCTTACATAATTATTACATAAGTAGCAGTCTCATATTACCGTTGTGGTACTGGGTTTGTAATGATAAACACCAATTACTAATTTAATTCAACCGTTGGCATTCTGAAGTTATCATGTGATAAGCATGGAGGTAATTTCTGGGAACACTCTTGATTTTTTTCTCTTAAGAGGCTTATGATTTACAGGAAGAAATGAGTCAGTACAGACCCCTGTGATACAGTATGACAAAGACTCAGAGTAGTGGCAGCAGCATGCCGTAGGAGCACTTAGGAAAGGCTCACATCACAATCAAATCTAGGGAATACAGTATCAATTAAGCTTTCAAGATCTGAAGTGAGATGGCATCAGGGGAAAAGGGAGGCTTGGCCCCACATAATATTCTTTCCTTCTTGTTTCTTTTGCTGTTCCCACTCAAATATCTCTATTTTTTCTCTCTCTCACCTCAATACCCAAGTGCCTCAGGATTCCATCCTCAGAATTTTTCTTAGTGGATTCTATCACTGACTATCTTATCTAGCAACACCATTTGAAATAGCGCTGTGTATATGCTAATGGCCGCTCCATTTGTATCTCCAGACATGACCTTTCTCCTGAACTCCAAACTCGTATTCAGTTGCCTACTTTCACCTCTGTTGGGGGTCACAAAAAAACTCCATAGCTGCAGATCTGATGCTCCCTAAAATTCAGTCTCCTCAATCTCTACCCAAGGCTCCTGGATCCTTCTAGTTACTAGGGTCAAAACACTGCAGTGACTCTTGACAGCTCTTCTGCTCTCCCATTAGCCAGCCAACCTTTGAAAATACAGCTGGAGTGCAACCAGGCTCCACCATGCTCCCTGCCACCACCCTGGTCTTAACCAAGATCTATGATTCCTGGATTACTATGACAGTCTGTCAGAGGCCTCTCTTAGCTTCTGCCCCTTACAACCTATTTTCAGAACATTAGCCACTTTTAACATTAAAGTTAGACTGGCCGGGTTACTCTTCTCAAAACTTGTAAAATGTTCCCCAGTAAAAGCAAAATCTTTGCAATAAATTAGAAAGCCAAGTGTAATATGGGTTATCTCCTCTACATTACTTTTCTGTTCCTCTCCTCTCAGTCAATTTAGAACAAGTGTTCTTGATCTATTTAGGTCTTGAATTACATTTTCTATTTTCTTCAAAAATCCAAATGTATCCAGATATAATCAGTGCTGTGAACGAATATGTCCCCCAGATTCATGCATGAGAAGCAACTCCCCTGCAACTGTGTTGGGAGGTAGAACTTTCTGGAATGTCTGTGCTCTCATACATGGAAGCAAGGGTTAAATGGAGGAAATTCTGTTCCTTTTGTCTTCCTGTCTTCTACTGCTGGGGTTTCTATTGCTGTGATTTAAAAAAAAAAAAAAGATCAAAAAAGCAACTTGGGGAAGAAAGCCTTTAATTCATTTATACTTCTACACCACAGTCCATCGTGGAAGGAAATCAGGGCAGAAACTCAAGGCAGGAACCTAGAGGCAGGAACCGATGCAAAAGCCAAAGAGAACTGCTGCTTGCTGGCTTGTTCTCAATGACTTCTCAGTCTGCTTCCTTATACTGTCCAGGACCATCTGTCCAGGGGTAACACAACCCATAATGAGCTAGACACTCTCACAAAAATCAGGAATCAAGAAAATGCCCAACAGGCTTGTCTACAAGTCAGTCAGTGAGGGCATTTTCTCAATTGAGGTTCCTACTTCCCAAATGACTCTAGCTTGTGTTAAGTTGACATGACACTAGCTAAGCACATCTACCATATTTTCTTTATAAATCATCCAGTCTCGGATATTTTGTCATAGTATCTTGAACTGAGAAAATCAGATTTTATTTCCCCATAGAAATCATCTACATTAACATTTCTAACACACATAATAGTATGTATTGTAATTAATAAAGAAACAACATAGAGTTTATAGGCTGGATATTTCTTATTCCTAGTATTGTGCCTCTGTAAGTGGTATGTCATGCACCCTAATATTTAATCTTCCCATAGAACTACCAGGCAGGTATTTGAATTACCTAATAAGGCAATGAAAGATTTAAAATGACCTGACTAATCTAAAGAAATATCTTAATAATGTGAATATATTTTGCATTATCTGTTTGGTATTTTTTTTGCATCAACCTCTGCTGTGTTTAAACCCATTAGCTACCCAGTTATTAATAGGCCTTTAAAAATATCAGCTCTAATCTGTTGTTGTACTGGTGTTGCATTGGTCTTCGTCAAAGAAAGGTTAAAACCCTTGTCCTGGCTTATGATGTTTTGTTTACCTGCCTCTTCTGTCTCACTATACACTATTTCCTCCTCACTTTCTGGGTCCCCAGCTAGATGATCTTCTTTCTGTTCTCAAATAAATGCAATCCCTCCCCTCTTCTCCCGGCCTCTGTCCTGTTGCAATGGCTTACAAAAGCTATGGTTGGCATTAGTAAAAATCATGACCCTTTTATTATTTTTTTTCTTAGTGTCTACAGATAGGGGAAAAATCCTTAAAATGTCATTCTATGGTATAAGCAAAAGTTTGGCTCATTTTTACTGTGAGATGCATGCTTATTTAAGTGATCATATTTCTGAGCATCACCTACAATCTATAGAAGAATTGTAAAGCCTGTAACAGAGAAGAGCTGTTATAGAAAGGTAGAACATTTGAAATAACAATGTCTTGTTGTTAAATATTGAACACAATGATTTGGGATCCTTTAATTGAGTAGAACGCATTCTGAAAATCATTTGATGGCCTTATACCCATGGTGATATTAGATACAGGGAAAAAGGAGAGACACTTGATAGTTAAAAAATGTAAAGGCAGCCCTTCTCCATAATCTTCCATAAGAAGGGAAACTAACCATGCAAACTCTCCACCAGAGTCACCAGTGTGGCTCCCCCTGCTGGCTTCATCCTTAGCAGCCTCTTTCACCATCTATAACCTAGTTCATTTTGTAACTCCTTGAGATCCAAGGTTATGTCCCGTTTCTCAATCCTTAAGTTAGTGTCTGTTCTAGTTTTCTCACTGTTACTGTGATAAAACATTGACCAAAACCATGTTGGGAGAGAAGTTGTTTGATTTACAGGTTACAATCTGTCATCAAGGGAAGCCAAGGCAGGAACTCCAGGCAGCGACCTGAAAGCAGGAACTGAGGCAGAGACCATGGAGGAATGATGCTTCCAAGGCTTGCTTCTTCTGGTCTGTGTTGTTAACTTTCTTCTACAGCTCAGACCCACCTGCCTAGGACTGGGAAGCTGGGCCCTCTTATATCGATTAGCAATCAAGAAAATGCCCCCATAGGCATGCCCTCATGCCACTCTAAGGAGGCAATTTTCAACCAAGGTTGGCTCTTTCCAGGTGTGTCAAGTTGATAACTGAAGCTAACTATGATGGTGTTCATATTCTGAAGACAGAAGTGGTCGAATTATTTAAGATGGATTAAACTAAGAAGTATAGCATACAATTCTGGAGACAGTGGAGATTAAAATACATTATTGATAGAGTCTAGAAAGATGAATCATTTTACTTTACACAATAGATCAGGAAATGCTATTTTGGTGACTGATATGAAGTCCTTCATGGGAGTAGATGCATGCCTAGATGTACATGTATGAACCGATCTTAAAAAGAATGATCTAGTCGATGGTGCAGGATGACCTTGGTTGCTTAGAATTCATAGATAAGAAGTTTATAACTTTCAGATAGGGTTTTGCTTGTTCTTAATTCAATGTTAAAATAATCAGATAAACCAAATACAAATAGAAAGTTCATCATCTGAAAGGGAACTAGAAGTACTTCTGATAGTAGAGCATTTTGAAATATGATCATAGGCTATAGGAATTGGGCATCCCCAATCTGAAAATAAAAATCCCACAAGGCTCTGAATTCAGAAACCAAGTTTGGATTGGGGATATTCAGCCTGTATAGTCAAAAGGTCTAATTGGTATAAATGTGACCAAAACCTTTCCAACTTGGAAATATCTTGCCTACTTTCTGAGCTCCTTCTGTGGAGAAGAACTGCTCATGAAATTTGCTGGGAATTACAGCTTTTTAAAGTATGCTTGAATAAAATAAATTGTTTCTGGGGCTGGGTTCTTCCATAGAAGGAGACTGGGCTGTTCCCTGCTTTCCTGTGCTATGCAGTGAACTTTATATTCTCGTTATGCTGCATATTGTCATCCAGATTTGCAAGAATTAAGGTTATTTTTGCCATTTCTAAGCAATCTTGGACTACAGACGATTTCATAACAATGCTTACATTGGAAAGTCCAAATTAGACATTATCATCATTGTGCAGACGAGGACAAACCGAAATCTGACTAAAGTTAGCATTGTTATAATTGGTAGCACAAGCTGCAGCTTTTGAAGCCTTTTCTTACAGAGTCTCAAAAGAGTGTCATGGTTTGAGGCCCATACATTGTTAGTAAATGATTTATCACCCATGATCACCTGCATACTTTTTGTATAGCTGTAAAAAAATGAAACAGACTTTCAGAGAAAAAAAAACTTAAAGTGTATGTTTCTTGTTAAATTGCACCAAACAGTATTTTCAATTTATAAAACTTATTATTGACACGGTAAGTCTAAAAGTCTTG